TTCCTATATTACCAGTTTGGATCAAGTTGCCTTCCAACTGATATAATGGGTTGAGGAACCCTAAACTGCTGAAGAATATGCTCTCAGAATATTGCTGTCAGACCTTTCCCTGTAAATGTCTGGTCCATGGAAATCCTCATAAGATAATTGTAATTGTATCTGTAATTACAATTAAAATGGTGTCTTAGGGGTGAAACAGAATGGGGAAAAAAAGCTGCTTCCAGCTGTTTGAAGGCAGGGTGTTTATAAGATACATGCCTCCAAAGCAGGTAGAAACCAAAATGAAGCTGTGCTGCGGGGCTGAAAACCAGAGCAAAAATAAGTCAGGTTACTCTGGCTTAGCTTGGAAAATGTACATCTTAGTGCCTACATATAAAAGCCCCAATGTGAGTGCAGGGTGCAGCAAAGCAAAAAATGAAAGTGTGACAACTCCAATGGATGTAGTTACAAAATGCACAAGCCAGACAGGGGGCATGGGATGAAGTGGGGTGAAGGGACATGTATGATTGTGGTTTGCCAATGTATCACCTGCACACCAATGCTCCAATGCCCTGTGTGGGTAGAGCATCGCATATGTGACTGTGTGGCCGATCAAAGGTGTGTGTGTGTGTGCAATGGCATCTAGGTGGACATGGGAGGTACTTGGAGGTGGCATGTGGTGTGATAGTGTGCATACATGGTGGGGAGGCAGCAAAAAAATAGCCAGTTGCGCCGTGTGATCAGATTGTGTATATTGGTGCCGTGTGATCAGATTGTGTATATTTGGCCCACCTTGGGAGCTGGCTATGCGGACAGCGGGAATTCAAGACAGTTTTGGACAAAGCAGGTTCAAGCCACTTTTTCCTGCTCCTGCACTCCAACCCATAGAGACCTCACTGACTTTATGTCAGGCTTTTGTGTGTATTTTCAGGTATTGTCAGAGAAAGTGCTACTTAAAACAGGTTTGTTGGATATTAAATCTAAGTAGTTTTAGCATTCAGTACCATCTGTTTGCTTGGCTTAACTTGATGTATGTTTTCAGTCTTCTAGTTCTGTCCACATTTGACCCCAGGATAGAATTTGCTCATATATTATAGGGAAGTGGGATTTGAGAATCTCAGAGGAGTGATTTCCAGCAATTATTTGGGGCTCATTAATCTTATCATAGGATAAATCCCCAAGTCCTACTTCTCATGTTGTACTGCAACAAAAGAAATAAGTGTAATTTTCCCCTTTCTTTCTCCCGCATCTCTATAATACATATGCCAGCCCCTTGTGTTCTCATTATAGGGGGCATGTTGCACACTTCTTTTTGTCTTGTAGAATACAGTGGGTCCACCACATTTGCTGGGTTTAGGGGTGTAGGAGCCCTGTGAAAATGGAAAAACTATAAATAAAAAACCTATTTTTTGTTTTTGTTTTTGTTTTACCTGAGGTAACATTTCTCTAGGAATCTTTAGGTTCTCCAGGCAATTCTATGATCAATATCTGCTGGAAACTGACCATAGAATCACACTGGAGGACCTACAAATACACAGACAAGTGTTTTCTCTAGGAATCTCTAGGTCAGGGGTAGGCAACCTTTCCCCTTTAAGGGCCGAGGGACTTCAGCTCCCAGAATCCCAGGAGCTATTGGCCAACATGGGACTACTGGCCAACATGGCTGAGGCTTCTGGGATCTGAAGTCCCTCGGCCCTTAAAGGGGAAAGGTTGCCTACCCCCTGCTCTAGGTCTTCCAGCATGAGTCTGTAGTCAATATATGGCAGAGTCATGCTAGAGAACCTAGAGATAATACTTATCAAATCCATGAATAATCAAATCTGCAAAAGTCAAAGCCACATATGTGAAGAGCCAACCATATATAAGGTATATAGTGTGATGTATTGGTTTGAGTGTTGGATTGTGGCTCTAGAGACCATGGTTTGAATCCCTGCTCAGCCGAGAAACCAACAAAGTGACCTTGGGCAACTCACACTGTCTCAGCCTTGGAAAAGCCCAGTTGCAGACCCCTGCCAAACAAATCTTACCAAGAAAAGCCCGCTTCCTTTTTCAGTCTGGGGACCTCTCTCAAACCTTGGGAACGAAGGAAGCAGAGCATGCTGGCCACTTCCTCTTTCAGTCCCAAGGTTTGAGAGAGGTCCAGGGAAGGAGGGTGCGCTGGCCACTTCCTTCTTCAATCCCAAGGTTTCAGGAAGCTCAATTATTCCCGAGTCCCTAGCTGTGTGCTTGCACCCTCCTGGCTGTTTCCTCCATCCTCAGCTTTTCCTTCTCTCACAGGGGAAAAGCCTAGGAGGGACGGAGAGGGAGGAGTGCACGCGCACACAGCTAGGAACTTGCGAATAATCAAATCCATTAATCCCAAAGCCGCGATTGTCGAGGGATGCCTGTACTTGATTGAACGCAGTATCCTTTCACACTGTAGATATGCCTCCACATAGAAAAAAACCTTGCATGTTGTAGATTTGCATATCATGAAGAAAGTTTCAGCAATAATGTGCTTATTTACTAAATGTGGAGAACTTTGAACATATATTTATGATATTGCACAGTCTCACCTCCAGCTTAAAATGTACCATAAAAATTCAGCCACCTCATTCCTTGTGAAGAACAGCTTACTCATAAACAATAAGTGTCCTGGCTGAGTAATAAATAATAAGATTGAAGATAGGCAAGTTTTAAGATGCTAGAAGATAGTCTTTATTTGCTGAAAAGCATAATGCATTTCAGCCTATGGATACTCTGAGGTTTTCTTTATGGGGCTATACCAAAAAACAGATTTCCAGTATCTTGATGAATGTATCTCTTGCAGCTTTTCTCCATTTGTTCTCTTTAGTCATAAACAAATACAAGCAACTACTGTAAGTGTAAGTTGATACAAGTGTAAATTGATGCACTTGTACCAACCTTCCTTTATGTGATGATTTCCAAATGTTTTTGACTTCATTCCTTCCACAGTCTTTAGATAGAATGGCCAACGGTCAAGAAGTTGTAATGCTGGGAGACACCCAATTAGGGAAGGCTGGTCTATATACACCTATCCTATTTATTGACTTATATATTTGTGATATATTTTAAATACTTCTGTAAGTTTACTCCCATGGTAGAATTTTTAGAAATGTAAAGTGTCAATTTCCTCTAAATCTGTTCCTTCCATTTTCTTACATCTGTTAGATACCAGAATAAGGGCAAGAGGGAATTTTCCATCTTTGTGTCAAATTGAGTCATGGATCACTACCAGTGGTAGACTAAAAGCTGTAAACCAGGATCTACAAACTGAGCCAATGAACACAATGAAGCACATGAGAGGAAGACTGTAATTCTCAGGCAGTCTACATAAAAACAAAAGCTTTCTTATTGGGAGGCGCCCAGTAACTAGCCTAAGTTTCTTCCAAGACTGTCTTTTTTTGCCAATGGCTAAAATATCCTGATGCACCACAATTTCTGCCACTGCAAGAAGCCAATAACCTAAGTGACAGCAACATCAGTTAGTATAATGTTCTAGAGCTGACCTTGTGCTGAGGTACTGTCGGTACCCTGGATAGGGATGGAAGTGTTTATTCAGAGTTGAGTAGCTACATTTCAAATTCATAGTTAGCAGTCTTGAAGCAGAAGGAACAAGTTTTCTCAGCAGTAACTTGAAGCAATTACTACGGTAGTTTTAGAATCTATACACCAAAGAATAAAGGCCAAAGCGCCATCCTTTGAATGTTACTTCTGTCCAATTAAAAGGACAATGATGTTAATGAAGATATTGCTTCTATCAAAATCTAGATAATAGAGTCTTATGGGGAAGTCATGGGGCTTCTCTGGGAGAAGTTCTGTGGAGTTCACCTTTCATTGTCCAGGGCTTAGGAGGTAGAGTGTGGGCTCTGACACTGATGGAGTTGTTCAGAAAGAACCAAAGAGTGGATCCATCCCTTCAGAGTTACAGTTGTTCAAGGGCATAGTATCCATGGACTCATGGTCTGGGGCCTTAATGTAGACTTGTACAGTAGTTTTCTTGCCTTCTGGGGACTCACTATAGTAAGGTTTAATGATCTATTATATACGCAGTTGCACAAAGATTATTATTGTAACCAGGAGAACCTTGTTACAATTCATTTCTTCCCTCCCCCCTTTTTTGTTTGTTGTTTAGCTTTCAGTGACTCCCTATGTACTCTGTATATATTTTGTTCACATTCCCTTCTCATAAAACTATAGGTAATTAGATGCGGGGGTGGGGGTCTGATTGCAAGGATAAGCCTGAACAGATAAGAACATTATGTTCTTCAAGGAATTGGAACTAGAAGGCACATAAGTGGCAGCAGTCTGTACATCAAGATGAATACATTGAAAGTACAGCATGAGTTTGCTGCTATTACAACCATGAACCATATGCTGCTTTTCTAATATATTTATATTTTCATACTGCTTTATAGAAAGTCTTTATAGTCTTCTAACATTCAGCATTTGATCATTTTCTTCCTCTGATAGAATTTTGCCAAATCTGTGGTTAGGAAGTTGCCCTCGTCAAGTGGAGCATGTGACTGTGAAGCTAAAACATGAATTAGGTATTACAGCTATCATGAACTTCCAGACTGAATGGGATGTTGTTCAGAATTCCTGGGGATGCAACCGCTATCCGGAACCAATGAGCCCCGAAGTTCTCATGAAGCTATATAAAGAAGAAGGCCTTGCTTATGTCTGGATGCCAACACCAGACATGAGTACAGAAGGTAACATCCACATTCTTCCTCTAGTAAAATAATCCAGAGAAGATCTAAACATCTATTCAGGAATATAGCTACCTTCTGTGAATGGCTAGCTTTTTAATCTTTGTATAGCTTTACAAGTGTCTTACTCGTTGTTGTTGTTGTTGTTGTTGTTGTTGTGTGTGCCTTCAAGTCATTCCTGACTTATGGTGATCCTAAGGTGAACCCATCATGGGGTTTTCTTGGGAAAATTTGTTCAGAGAAGTTTGCCATTGCCTTCTCAAGATGTTGAGAGCGTGTGTCTTGCCCAAGGTCATTCAGTGGATTTCATACCCATGCTAGGAATCGAACCCTGGTCTCCAGATTTGTAGTCCAACACTCAAACCACTATACCACACTGCCTTTCATGTCTTACTCTTACCCTCCATGTAATTGCATTATGTTACCATATACCAGATATGGTATTCTTGGACTGATCCATGGATTTATAAAGTAGCTCTTATATATACAACCTCAGTTAAATTATTATTGTAGTTAAGTATTTTCTGAATATTTTTGTAATAATCTGAATACAGTTAATACATTTAATGTTTAGCACTACTTGAAGGAATGATCTACTTTTCTTGTTGAGATTAACAATATGATGATGGCAGTAAGAATAACAAACCACACATACCCAGTGGATTATAATTTGTTTTTATCAGCAGTACTAAAAACTTATAAAGATTTATTTCAGGATATGGGATATCACTACACATATAAATAATTGTACCTTCAAGCAGAACAGCAGGGTTGATCTCAGAAGTAATATACTTCTTCCTATCTATTCTTTCCCTTTGCCCCAGGAACTGGATGTGCCAAAAACTGTCAAAAGAATCACAATTGATTAAGGTCTTTCAGTGTGACTTGAATGCATCTAAAATTTGTTCTCTGACACAAAAGTTCATGATACAATAAATGTGTTACTCTGTAAAATGCCCCAACATCCCATGATACTTTTGTTTGCAAAACAGAAGACTATTTCTTGTGAATTTCTCATTGCTACATGATGAAAACAATTGCTCATTTGATTTTAATATTTAAAATCAAAACTTGCACTTAGGCAACACTGATTTGCCATCATTTGTTACAGGGGTAGGCAACCTTTTTGAGCCGGGGGCCAGGTTGCTGTCCTTCAGACAATTGGGGGGGCTGAAGCACCAAAAATAAATAAGTAAGTAAGTAAGTAAATAAATATTTTTTTTAAAAAATTAAAAATAAAAAAAAATACGCATGCACACTCTCTCCGCCCCAGAAAAGCCATGGCAAAACTCCTGTGGAGATTTTGCCAAGAAAACCCCAAGAACAAGTAATAATAACAATATCATCGTGGCCGGGGGGGGGGCGCGGCGGTGGCGGTGGTAGGACCGATCTGGGGCCGGTCCAAAGGCCTCGGGGGGCCACATCTCACCCCAGGGCCTTAGGTTGCCTACCCCTGATTTATTAGTTTTCATATTTGTATTGTTCAACAAGCACAATGTAGTTTACAAAACCATCTAATAAAACTAACCAGAAATAATCACAACAAGAACAAGGAACCACCAAAATGAGCACATCAGAGCAGTCAACAGGGAAGATTACTTCAGATTCAGAATGTCTTTACTTTGCTTATAGATGAAGACCAACTGGAAGGAGACAGAATAGCTCTCCCCAACAAAGGAGTTCCAGAGCTTGAGGCTGCACCCACACTGCAGAAATAATCCAGTTTGACACCACTTTAACTGCCATGGCTCAATTGTATGGAATTCTGGGAAATGTAGTTCTATTTACATTTTTCTGTCTGAGAGCTCTGGTGCCACAACAAATTACAGTTCTCAGAATTCATCAGTATTGAGCCATGGCGGTTAAAGTGGTGTCAAACTGGATTATTTCTGCAGTGTGGATGCAGCCTAAGTGTCTCTGTTGAAAAGATCCTCCTAAATTGATATCATCTACCTCTCTCTCATATCTCAAGAGGGAAAGAAAAGCTGCAGGAGTGTCTACAAAATAAATATATAAACAAACAAACATAATAGTATTAAGGTTCAGGTAAGATTGTATAGAACGGACAATCATTTTTAATTGAAAGACAAGAAAGACTGGGGCAAACAAGGGCAAACAAAATTGTATGGGTTTAGGCCTGTGACTTTAAGAGCAATGGTACTTTGCAAAGAGGGTCAATCATCAGAATGTATACAAATTCCCATACTTATCCTCCTATACCACTCATGTTTGTTGCCCCAAACTATTTTTACCAGACTGGCTATTAGACTGAATATTTTCATAAAATTAAAATGCAATTGAGAATTGCTTCATTTTCTGGGCTAAACTGGATTCTAAGTAATTGTTTAAAATGTAACTGGGCAAATAGGAGTGGAGATCATATAATTATTTAACTCTTGGGATGTAAGGTAGTTTAAAAATACATGTTGATTAACTCAGTAAACTTCGGTGAGGAATTGAAAAGTTATCCATAGATTTAAAATGATGAGCTGTCTGACTTCTTTCACAAGACCAATCGTGTGTGTAATCTTTTTTCATCTCCCACACTTTGGAATACAGACTCAACTGAGATCATCAAGCAACCTTATCTTCTTTGGCTTCTGCTCTGCCTCTCATTTAGAAGAAATCACTAATTTTGTTACATATAACAGTGTAATGTCTAGTTTGTGAGTATGCTTGGTTGTTAGTGTTGATATATGATGGGAAATGGACTAGTGAAGGGGGGCAGGCTGAAAACAGAAAGCAAGGCAGGATATGTTCCCTATAAAGAGCCCCAGGAATCCATCTATTTACAGATCCTGCCACTGACATTTCCCCTTTTTGATTAACTTATCACCTCCCAAATTGTTCTATGATGAGCACATTCAATATATGCTTGTCCCCTAACTGCTTCCAGAATCTATAACTTACAGCAGAACACCTTTAAAAATGTTGAACAGGTTTCAATCTGTCATTCTGTGCCTTTTGACCATCATGTGGGCACACTGTCTTCCTGTTTTTTTCTTCCTTTCTATGGAATAGTAAAAGTATGAGAATCAATGAGAATAATGGCAAAGAGAAGATAGGCCATTTGTGCATCCCTCCTTTCACCTCTGTTTACCCATCTAAAGAGGATTAAATTTACAAAATTGGGAGACTGTGGTCCATAACACACTGCAGAAATAGTCTACTTTGAGACCACTTTAATTGCCCTGTTCGGTGCTGGAGAATTCTGGGAATTGTAGTTTTTTGTGTCACAAGAGCTCTCTGACCGAGAAGGCTAAATGTCTTACAAAACTACAGTTCCCAGAATTCCCTAGCATTGAATTAAAGTGGTCACAAACTGGATTATTGCTGCAGTGGGTTTTGGTCCCATATATTTTTTAAAAAATGTCTACAGCATATTCAGTTTTAATGTTCTTTAGTTACATACGCATTTCGTTATCTCATGTGATTCCATAATCCCTTTATTTTCAGAATTCATGTTACATGATTACTGAATACTTTGCTCTTTTCTACAACATTATTATCGACCTCTAGGCAGTTGCCAAAAGGCAGTGTCAACTAACACTAGTAGTTTCAAGCAGGAAGTGTTACCAACTTTTAAATGCCCTTTTCCTTGATCTTCATTTCTGTTTCCATTTTCTTGTTGGCACAAACTTTGGATTTCATCATCCTTAGTAGTGGGGCTGGATTTTTTTTATCTCTTAGAGCAGGGTTATCCTTGAAAACCTAGAGTTCCACGAGGGGCATCTAGGGGTTCTGCAAGAGATCATGATGAGAGAGAGAGAGAGATGTAAATAATTTTAATACAAGGGTTCCCTGAGTCCTGGAAATTATTTCAAGATTTCCTCTAAGACTGAAAGGTTAAGAAAATCTGAGTTAGAGGATGGACTGGAAGATTGTGAATTAGTTATCTGCATTTTCAGCCTTTTAGGGAATGGAAATAGGGAAAAAAACATGGAATAGAAGTGTCTGCTTAGGAAGCAGCATCAGGCAATCTGAGGATGGAAGAAATATGGGGGCATGAGAGTGAATCCCTTTTGTTCAATATGGATTCCTACACACAGTTGCTTGTTCCATCTCAAGTTCAGTACACATGCATGCCCTTTTTGTGGATGAAGCATTGGATCAAGGCATGTGTCTTATTCTGAATCTTTCATTCATCACATTTCTTTTTTCTATAAAAGCTAGCCAATAATCCAAAATAACATACCGTATTTTCCGGCGTATAAGACGACCTGGCGTATAAGACGACCCCCCATTTTTCCAGTCAAAATATAGAGTTTTAGCACCTCTATCCTCCTTATCTTTATACCCAGCGTATAAGACGACCCCTCACCCCAACCACAGATTTTGCAGGTTTAAAAGTAGTCTTATACGCAGGAAAATAAGGTATTTAAAATTTTATTATAGTGTCAGTTGGATGGCACCTGTGCTATGACCAAGAGAAAACCCCTAATCCCCATATTGTCATAAAATATTTCTGAACTTTAATAAAGTGAAGGAGAAACATGCGGCTATGTATATATGTTTACATTTTTTAAAAGGACATCCTGCCTTAAATATGGGCAGAGGATCATGACTGACTGATAAACCAGGATTTGATTTTCTAATTTCTCTTTGTTTTACAAATTGCTAAACTGGAAGGAAGAAATGTCCATACCACAGGAAATGAGCTTTGGAAGTCTAGGGTTATCCTGACTCTCTTCTTCCAAAATGCTTCTCTGCCCAGATGAAGAGAGGAAGCCCCAACCAGAATGTCAATCCCAACATCTTTCCACTGAAGTAATTTGACACTTTCCAGTAAAATGGTTCCCAAATCAGTTTTGTAATGCTGAACATTTACAGTGCCATGCAGAAGTAGGCATCCAACATACACTTTTAACTCATTTTGTTGAATTATAACCTGGATGTAAATTTAATTGTGATTGGTATCAGTTCAGTTTTTACATTCATGGGGCTCAAGCATTTAAGACACTGACTCTGTTGATTACAAGATCAGCAGGTTGGCAGTTCAAGGCCCAGGTGCCACATGATGGGGTGAGCTCCCATCACTAGTCCCAGCTTCTGCCAACCTAGTAGTTCGAAAGCATGTAAAAGGTGCAAGTAGATAAATAGGTACCACTTCTTAGTGGGAAGGTAAACAGCATTCCGTGCAGTCATGTTGGCCACATGACCTACAGAGTCATCTTTGACAACACTGGCTCTTCAGCTTAGTAACGGAGCTGAGCAGCACCCTCATCAGTCAGACACAACTTGACAACCTTGTCAAAGGGAAATACCTTTAACTTTACTTTTATCAGTTCATATACACAAGATAGCTAATTCTGTAAAGGTGTACACTATTTTCATTGTGACACAAAAGTTAAGTAAACAAAAACCAAGAATTCTTTTAAATG